AAAACATAAGATTAAATTATGTTCACCTTACAAACGTTAAAAAGTCCTGCAGGTGCTGACGCTAAACTGTTTTATATAATAGGCACAGTCCTGGCTTGGGCTGATGACCTAACATAAAAACAAAAAGACGTGGCTTGAGTTTAAACATTTCAAATTGATCAGTAAATCAGATAGAACCTGTACGTTTAGTGGCGATGAGTGAGAAGGTGGGCCTAACAGGATGGGCGAGCAGGTGGGCTGATGAGGTGGACCGAGCAGGTTGGGCGAGCAGGTGGGCTGATGAGGTGGACCGAGCAGGATGGGCGAGCAGGTGGGCTGATGAGGTGGGCCGACCAAGAGAGATCATTTTGTTGTCAATCAGTCATTAAGTCAGAAGGAAAAATAAATCATAAGAACACAACTAAAAATAAATTTCCCAGCGATGCCAGAGACCCTACATGAAAAAGATTAGAACCAGTTAAAAAAAAAAAATATGTGTTAATAATCTGGAAGGATCTCTCATTTATAAACGCTGATATGCTGTATATTTCTTAACAAAAACTAAAAAAATCTAAATATTTACACAGACACGATTGCACAATTGCGTCCTTGGTCTTTTAAACTCACATATATATTTTTGTCAGCTGAGCATGAAAGGATTCAGAACTGAGATATGATAGCAAGGCATTTTAAAGCTTATTTCATTTCATTTGTTGCCTTCGTTTATTGGCTATTGGTATATGCTCCTCCTATGTGTAGTAGTTGATGCACAGTACAGCAGGGAAGAGGTCGCAGCACACATATTAAAGTCTTTACTTGTCGGTCATAATTACATTACTTACGGCGCAATTCCAGCTACTTTAATTGACCAATGTGTATTTAAACACCGTCTTCTTCACATGATAATCCAGGATAATTAACTGTTGGTACGGGACTATAGATCGCTCATTATGGCTAGTAAGTTGTTCTGTGTTCGCAGCCAAGAGTTACTCAGAGGCGTTTACTTTCTTTGACGTAGTGACTCCTTACATCCGTTTTCTGATAAAGAAATCTCATGAAACAAAAACGATAAATTAATTGAGTGATACACTACGATAAAAGAATTAATTTACCACACGGACAATTACTGTACTATTATTACTGTATTCCAGTGAAAGGTAAATGTAAAAAAATACAATCAATCGAATGATATGGTAGAAGGGAATCGGAATGAGTTTTGAAAGGAAGGTAAATGTGTTTTGAATGGCCCTTTATAGTTCTAAATTAAGTTAGCAAAATTATCCCAGAACTCAAGAGAAACATTTACTGTAGTCCTAGAAACTCACTTTATTCATCAAGAGTTTAAATTATCTGTTACCAGGGGGTGGAGGCTGTTATCAGGTGGTACAGGCTGTTGTCAGGTGGTGCAGGCTGTTGTCAGGAGGTGCAGGCTGTTATCAGGTGGTGCAGGCTGTTGTCAGGTAGTGCAGGCTGTTGTCAGGTAGTGCAGGCTGTTGTCAGGAGGTGTAGGCTGTTATCAGGTGGTGCAGGCTGTTGTCAGGTAGTGCAGGCTGTTGTCAGGTAGTGCAGGCTGTTGTCAGATGGTGTATGGTGTTGTTAGGTGGTGCAGGCTGTTGTCAGGTAGTGCAGGATGTTGTCAGGTAGTGCAGGCTGTTGTCAGATGGTGTATGGTGTTGTTAGGTGGTGCAGGCTGTTATCAGGTGGTGCAGGCTGTTGTTAGGTGGTGCAGAATGTTGTCTAGCAGTATAGTGCAGTTAAGTTAAATTCATTATTATTATTATTATTATTATTATTATTATTATTATTATTATTATTATTGCTGTATGTTTCATGTCACTCTACTATATTAATTTCCTCAACATTGTCATTCATTTGTCCACTACGTTTCATAGTTAATTCTTTGAAACTCGAATATGGTGTTGAATATTCCCTGGCTGGCAGATCTCTGAGATAAAACGGGAGTTGCTACTATCACATCAGCTATCTGTTAAAAACGCCGCATGCGACCACACACACCTGGGGAAGAGGGAGGGAGGGGGGCTTTATTACCCAATTTTTAAGATAACGAGCATAAATAACCTTGTATACATGTGTTCTGTTTCCGGACACTGCTTAATGTTGTGGTTTATCATTAGCCGCTGTGAAACTCGTGTGTATTTTGAAGGGAACATTATGCAAGGAGTTTTTTTTATTGTTTTATGATAACAGCTTTATGAACAGTTCGATGCAGGTATTAGGCAGCTATCAAACAGGGAGGTACTACTGCCTGGGAAGATATTGGAAGCATAATGTGTTGTCTAATGGTTGACCCTGCTGCCATATGTGACCAAGTCCCAGGTTGATGATCTGACTTTCTGCCTAACTTACACACAATATATTTTTATTTAATATTTTATTTACCTTTATAATTTTTATCAAACAACAACAACAACAACAACATCATCATCATCATCATCATCATCATCATCATCATCATCATCATCATCATCATCATCATCATCATCATCATCATCATCATCATCATCATCATCATCATCATATTTTCGCCCCCAAGCCCCTGATGTGGGTCATCAGGGGCTAATCCCGTAAAAAAAAAGACATTCACCCTAGCACGACACCCTACACTCACCCTAGCACGACACCCTACACTCACACTAATTTCATTATGTAATGGAGATGCCTTTGTTTACCTATATCTCTCACTACATCTCTCTCTCTAAAAATAAGTAACATTAATCTCTGTAAAATATGCTGTACAGAATGCTTTTATGACCCCCCCCCCACAAAAATCAAAAGGGTTGTGTATTACTATTGGATAATTAATTAGTCACCACAACTGAAATTATTTGGCAGTTAGAGTAATTAATGTTCCGTGAACTGTGAAATTTATGATCTGGTTTGAAATGAATTGTCCGATGATTTTTTTTATCCTCTTTTAAACAACACAAAGTTTCCTACTAAACACAAACAATATTTATGTCCGTATCCCCATCACTCTGTTCTCTGATACATAATGAACTAACGTGTATCATGTTATCCTTGTTCATCAAATGGAGTCCGTAAACTCTGCAGTCATCAGTGTATTTTAGGTTTTAATATATATATTATTATTTTTTTTTGCGAACTCTTAAGTATTATTTATGTTTCGTGGGTGACCTCTTCATGGGTGCTTGGGCGTCATGGGTGTAGGGAGCGTCATGGGTGCTGGGGGAGTGCTATGGGTGCTGGGGGAGTGGTATGTGTGCTAGGAGCGTCATGGGTGCTAGGATAGTCATGTGTGCTAGGAGCGTCATGGGTGCTAGGATCGTCATGGGTGTAGGAGCGTCATGGGTGCTGGGGGAGTGCTATGGGTGCTGGGGGAGTGGTATGTGTGCTAGGAGCGTCATGGGTGCTAGGATAGTCATGTGTGCTAGGAGCGTCATGGGTGCTAGGATCGTCATGGGTGCTAGGATCGTCATGGGTGCTAGGATCGTCATGGGTGCTGGGTGTCGTTCAGTGTCTACAGCGGTAAACTTAGCCACAGCACAATTAAGTACAGTATATCTCAACACTTGCCAGTTAAGAATTTTACCCCCAACTTGTGGAGATAATATATGCGTGTGACCTGCCAGGCAGCTCTGAGAAATAAAAAAGTTTGAGGATGAATGAGAATACTTCACTCGGGGACTACTTCTAAGAAATATCTGGTCACGAAGTTTTGAGGAACATAGCGACTGTTAATGTCATTTCTGTAGACTAAGACTGCGAAGTGCTTAAAAAGAGACAATTATTTTTTGGGGGGTCATTATACGATATTGTTTTTATGTCGTTAGTGAGAAATGTTTGCTTCTGGATTAAGTAAATTTGCTGCCACATTGGAGGAGACAATTTATCTCGGGGTTCAGTGTATGTAAATGAGAAATTTATAGGAGCCGTTTACCATAGTGAAGGGTGTCGTCCCCTCGCCCGGGTGAGTAATGGATCTGATACCATTATGTTATCTCCTTGTACAGTGGATATATACAATTTTCTTCTTGACACACACACACACTACGAGGGAGATGTCTGCTCTTGGACGAGATGTGTCAAGTGTGTTTTGAGATAATTAATGAAAGAATAGAGACCAGCTTCTCTCTGCTAGTCTTACCTGAGTTTACCTGGAGGCTTTTACCCAACCAACTCATCAATTGTTAGACGCCGTCACACTGACATTTTTGCAGCGTAAGGATAACTATGTTGCTCAGAGATTAAACTGTGTGTATATTTCACCTACACCATAATACAACCTTTATGAATGAACAAACATCATGGAGGTATGTTTTGTTCTGAGGCGGCTGTGAGTGTGACGCCCCCTCCAGCTGTTGACTTACTGCTGAACTCCGCTGTAACACGTGGTTAAGTACTGGGATAAACAGCAGTAAATACCAAGGTCTACCTTTTTTTTTATTGGTGAATTTTTCAATATAAAGAAACAATACACAAGAAACTGATATTATATTTTCTTATTATTGTCGATGACCAGTTAGTGTGGTCGCTAATTATTTTCCGGTACAGAAGTATTATTCAGCTAACCTGAATATACAGTAATTTGGAGGGCAGGATATCTTCTTACCGATGACAATATCATCATCAAAACACACCATCGTCATCACACATCATCGTCATCACACATCATCGTCAACACACACCATCGTCATCACACACCATCGTCATCACACACCATCGTCATCACACACCATCGTCATCACACACCATCGTCATCACACACCATCGTCATCACACACCATCGTCATCACACACCATCGTCATCACACACCATCGTCATCACACACCATCGTCAACACACACCATCATCATGGTGTTCAGATTGCAAATTGTGTAAAAGAATTAATTATAAGAGTAAAAAAAAAATATCTAACGTCCTCTTCAGTTTAAGTTAAGGTTAGGTTAGGTTAGGTTAGGTTAGGTCTCTTATCAACACTAACCTAACCTAACCCACCTAATGTATCTGTAATATCCCAAAGGAGTAATAAAACATTAAATATCATACATGTATTATTAAACCCAACAGGTAATACATATGTTCATGGTAAATATTTTAGTCTGGATAACCAACGATGTGTCGACCTCAAGTAATATTATCAAAAGGAGTTGTTACAGTGATTTATTTCTCTTATATATATAGATATGTGAAGGTGGTGTAGGTCGTCGGCTCTGGGCATGGGGTGTGGTGACTACACAGTTTCTGAAGGTGGACAATTATTCTGAAGAAAAGCAACATCAACATCAACAAGCAGTTCCTCTTTGTCTGAGCACCAGGCTCCCGCAGCCATCGTGTCCATGTAGTTGGCATTCTCCACCAGCCATAAAATGTTACACTGGCAGGTCAGAGGGTTGTCTGTGAGGGGGAGACGCACCAAAACACAATTAATGTACTGTGTTATTTTGCCTCTACCATTATTTTTCCTTGAAGCTAATATGTCCAGGAAATAAACCATCACATCACCTAGCCTAAGGTAACCTGATCATCCAGGTAGCGTTAGGCTGTTTAATCTTAGGCCTCTTTCACAAGAGCGTCTTTTTTTGTCGCACGATTTAGAAATCAATGGAATTAAATAAGCTTCCGTGTGAATGAAAGGTCTCATTGAACTCTATTGACTGCTAAGTTGCGCGACACTTTGTCAATAAACTACAACGTTCTTTCGAGAGAGACCTTAACCCCTTCACTACGGGGACGCCACAGATAATATTTTATTTGGTTAACGCCAGGCGAATTTATTCAGCTAAGAGGCGGCACCGTACACAAGGGGTTAAGGTGAAGTAAGCTGGGGGACGAATTTTCAGATGATCCAAAATGTGTTAGAGACACTGACAACAGGAATTCGCAGGTCTGCCTCAGAACACATGTTGTACACTTAATAGTAATACTTCGCTCTATTAACAACAAAATACTATTACCTACAGTACACCAGTACGATCTATTAATATCCCCTGAATTTTTTTATTTTTCATTCTTCGATAAACTTTGTATGCGAGGATAGTTAAGGGGAGGTCATGAAGAGGCTGGTCCGAGGTGTGGGGAGACCCTCTCCAGTCTGTGATCAAACTGAAGGTTCTCAAAAGCTAAATTTTTCTTGTTGCTGGAAAGTGGGAATTAGTAAACAAGGGGTATCTAATATCTATGTTAAAAAGTAACATAATTAGATATATGTAGATAAAGGTCGCGGTCTAACCTCACGTCAACAAACTACACAAACTCATATAAACACACGTAAAATGAATTGTACTTGAACACTCACAGAAACTCGTACTCAATCAAAACAGAATATTAAAATTATTTCTTTATGACATTTAGAGGAATGATGACCAATATCCTCACCGTCAAACACGAAGAGATTTGTAGAGTGTGCATTGTTGACAGTCTCGAAGACTGGCTTCCACACATCTGCTGGCAAGTCATCGAGGAGATTGTGGTGCATCCAGAGTACGCTACCGGGCTTCAGTCCTGGCCAGACGAAGCACAAGTGAATAACACATTTCTTATAAAGGTAGAATAATATTAAGGAAATAACGAGAAGAGAGAGAAGCTGACTGCAAGAAGATCAGGTTAATTTAGGTTAGGTTTGGTTAGGTTAGGTTAGGTTTGGTTATAATGTAAACAACACGACATTCTGAGAGGACGAAATATAATGATGGTGAGACATGATGATGGTGAGACATGATGATGGTGAGACATAATGATCGTGAGACATAATGATCGTGAGACATGATGATGGTGAGACATGATGATGGTGAGACATGATGATGGTGAGACATAATGATGGTGAGACATGATGATGGTGAGACATGATGATGGTGAGACATGATGATGGTGAGACAGCTAGAAGATGAGGGGGACGAGAGAGCAGGAGACCATGAAGGAAGCTACTGTCTTCGTCTATGCTAAATGTATTACCTCACCAGAAACTCTACCTAACACTCACTCACTCACTCACTGACTCACTCACTCACTCACTCACTCACTCACTGACTGACTCACTCACTGACTCACTCACTCACTGACTCACTGACTCACTCACTGACTCACTCACTCACTGACTCACTCACTGACTCACTCACTCACTGACTCACTCACTGACTCACTCACTCACTGACTCACTCACTGACTCACTCACTCACTCAGATATAGATTACCGGTAATAGTACACTAGTCATTTGTTATTGTTTTATTAACTATTCAAATTATCGCTGACTTGTTTTATCCCTCAATAAAACAACAAATATTAACACATTGCAGCTCCGGTAATATGTGCTACAAATTTAGGGTCAGCTGCGAGTTTTTTTATTACTAAATTGCATGACGATTAACCCGTAGTATAAAATTAAGAAAAAAGGCAAAATAAATGTGTACTTACCTGAAAATGCATTCACCTGGACCTTTTGTATCCGGTTATTGTTAAGCTTAATTTGGTCAACTGTACCATAGAAGGCTAACGATCCTGCGTATAGAGTTGTGATTCCGTTGTGACTCAAGTCAAGGTATTTCAGCTTTGACTGTTTACTGAAGGTGTCAGGGGCAACATGCGCCAGTTTTATATCGTTCAGCAGGAGATACTGTAAGTTTGGCGCTTGGAAGAAAGCCTCGTCGCCGTAAGTGATTCCCGGGTTATGCGACACCTGCAGGTAAAGTAGGCTGGTCGAGCGGATGTCTGACATGTGGAAAATCTTGTTCCTGAAGACACGTAAGTCTGTCAGCTTTGGACAGTCGATCAGGATATCAAATGGGAAAGAATCAAGGTTACTGTCTGTGACAATCAACGTTTCTAATATGTCGTGCGAATATTCAAAAGTGTCTGGTGCAATATCTTGAAGGGTTGTGTGGCTAATGCGAATGTATGAAAATTGTATGTTGTTGAATGTATCTTTATCGATATTAGTGATGGGAATAGGGGTCTCGTTTGTCTTCTTTTCAATGATCAAATTACGGAATGTAGGGAAGGGTATGGTAGCATGAAAAGCGTCACGCAGCTGCTGGCTACTCTGCACATTAGAGCAGTCCATATCGATATGTTCAGCTTGTTCATCTTTAGTACAGACACAGGGAAGGATATCTTCGGGCTCAGGGCATGGATAGCTTTCCCTTGGGGCAGCAAGAGGCTTAGGGTCGGCAAACGCATGGACCAGGACGGTGGCCTGAGCCAGGAAGGCGGCCACCAACAGCAGAGTGTTGCGGACCATCGTGTAGCGGCGAGGAAGGTGACGGCACCACCAGTAGAACCACACGGGGAAATAGTTGCTGCTCACTCACTCTCATCTTGATAAAGGCACACAGTATAGTGGTGCCAGAAACTTACTGCACACCAATTGTTTATATTTATAATAATGATAATTTGGTTCCTTTTGAATTGATCTTACATTTTTTACAAGGATTCTAATCCCAAATAACAAACAACACATACACACAGTAGTCTTTGACGAGTCTTTAAAGAATATCGATGGCTGAATTATGTGCATGTGTGTCGTGGCCAACCAGGGCAGCAGGTGGGCGAGGATGAAAGGTTCCCACAAGCATCGTGGAGGACGACTAGCGTGTCACAGTCAACCTCGACCATCTTGAGCTGAAGGATTATTACTTAGTCCAGGAAGACTTAAGCCGTGTTTTTATCAGCATACTGCCTAGTCCAAGTCCACTGACGTAACATCACAAATGCTTAGCCCTAAGAGTAAATTTCAAGCGTAAAAAGTAAAGCATTATGTGGCTATTTTATTGTAGTGTTAACAAATAAAGTAACAGGCTACAGTAAACAAACTTCAATAACAAAGATCTATGTACAATTCTCTCCACCATTGTCAAAACATATCTTCCATCTGGACTAAAACCAAACAAAACGTAAAAACAAAAAGGCATCACAAATTCATGAGACCTCACCACTATTCAGAAAATCTCATTACAACTTACTAGATGTGATTGAACTCTCCATAAATCACATTAAACTTGGAGACATTCACCCAAAACTCATTTATTAGTCATATTAAAAGTTGTTTAGCATTATTCATTCGATATTCTTCATTCTACGTGAGGTTATGCAGTGTTGAGAAGACGGTGTGGGGGAAGAGATAATGTAGGGAGGACTTCAGTTGTGTTCGTGTTGTGTATTGATGAATGGTGAGGTTCAGTGAGTTTGTTGGTGTTGGTGGTGTTGGTGGTGGTGTTGGTGGTGGTGTTGGTGGTGGTGGTGGTGTTGGTGGTGGTGGTGGTGGTGGTGGTGGTGTTGGTGGTGTTGGTGGTGGTGGTGTTGGTGGTGTTGGTGTTGGTGGTAGTGGTGTTGTTCATATTATTATTATTATTATTATTATTATTATTATTATTATTATTATTATTATTATTATTATTATTATTACTGCATGACACCAGGCCAACGTAGATGACATCGTAACATGACACCGTGACATGACACCTGCCCTGACAGAGGATAATTCACTACCTGTATTTCGTGTTAGTGTACGTGGTGGCCCCTCCCCCCCGAAATAAAAACAGAGTGCCAAGTAACAAACAAAAATTTCTTACCACCATCTGTTTCTTCTGTTTGTTTTCTCATGAATGTGTAATGTATAATGTAGTGACTCTTCACATTTGTGGTGCTGTCATTATGTGTGGTGGTGTGATGTTGTGGTGTATGTGTTTGGTGCGGTGTTTGTAGTGTTTGTGTGATGTGGTGTGGTGTGTGTGTGTGTGCTTGGTGCGGTGTTGTAGTGTGTTTGTGTGGTGTTGTAGCGTGTGTGATGTGGTGTTGTGTGTATGTGATGTGGTGTGGTGTTGTAGTGTGTTTGTGTGGTGTTGCGGTTTATGGAGGAGGAGGAGTCGAAGAAAGGGGAGAAGGAGAAAAAGAGGAAGAAAAGAAAGAGGAGAAGATAGAGGAGAATAAAGAGGATATTATTATTCTTGTTTTAGCGTAATTATTAACCTCCACGGCCAAGGTACTCAGATCACCATCACAGCGTCAGCCACAACAGTAGACACAGATTTATGGTTCTTTCAATGACATTCTCTCTCCTCCTCCTCTCTCTCTCTCTCTCTGTCTTCTTGAGGTCTCCACAAGTCACTCTCGGACCAAGGAAATGAAAGAGAGAGAGAGAAAGAGAGAGAGTGTCGTCTCCTGTTCGTGCTTCCGGCGGTCATTAATTATGATAAAGACTCCACCTTCTTAATGGTATGCAAATAAAGCATCATATGTGTCTGGTCGTCAGGCGGAGTTAATCAGGCATTATGATAAGAACCATTCATTATCTTGGTATCTCATCCACCATCAACTGGACGGTGGTGGTGATAAGAACATAAGAATGGAGGAAACTGCAGCGGGCCTATTGGCTCACACTGGACAGTCACTTTTACACCCAACCCCTATCGCTCATATATCCACCCAACCTATGTTTGAAGCTATCAAGCGTATTCGAGTTAATGATGATGTTTGGTAACTTGTTCCATTCGTCCACTACTCTATTTCCAAACCAGTGTTTACCTATCTCGCGCCTAAATCTAAATTTGTCAAATTTAAAACCATTGCTATGAGTTCGCTCCTGGTTGGATAGTTTGAGTACCTTTGTTATATCACCTTTGTTTAGCCCTGACTTCCATTTATACACCTCGATCATGTCGCCCCTCACTCTACGTCTCTCGAGGGAGAGCAAATTATGATGCTTTAACCTGTCTCTGTACTCAAGGTTCCTAATGCCCGGGATTAGTCTTGTCTTCCTCTGAATGCTCTCTGGGGATTTATATCCATTCTGTAGTATGGTCACCAGTACTGAACTGCGTAATCCAAGTGAGGTCTCACAAGTACTTTGTTAACCTTGTTTCGAGCAAATACACATTGTTGTCTTAGTTTAAGTTTCCTGCTTATTATTACTCTTAAACATTTCTCACAGTCGGATTTCTCTATATCAACATTGTTCATCTGAGAGTTGTTTTTTCTCTGCTTACATCTCCTAGACTTAGTACTTTACATTTGTCCACATTAAATTGCATCTGCCATTTTTCAGACCATGCGAAAAATTTGTTTTGTTCTTCCTGTAGTTTTGTGGAGTCCTCGACAGATTTAATTACACGCCCTATTTTAGTGTCGTCGGATGGCCCACGTCTCTGAGTAGTTCTTGGTGTAATAATAATAATAATAATAACAATAATAATAATATTAATAATAATAATAATAATAATAATAATAATAATTAACGGTTTATTTAAAGATCATGGCAGCCGGAAGGCTGAAAATATACAGTTACATAATTGGGGAATGGGTCTTTTGATTTACAAATAATATACAAGTAACATAGGTGATACAAATATGATATATAATAACTAGGTGGGGAGAAGCTCAAACTACAGGGCATTTCAACATAGTGACAGTATAAAAAGTAAGATTGACTGGGAGTGAATACACTGGTTTATTACAAGTTATTGATAATTTTTACAATGGTTGGGACTGGGCTGTTCTTATAGCGATCAGTTCGTGTACGTATGGGCGAGATGCGGTTGTGGTGTCGAACAGCAATTCTAGGGCGAGGGATCTCAGGTGGTAGTAGGAGCCGGTGTCGAGGGTGGTGCAGAAGCTTCTCACCAAATTTGCAGATGAGGTCGTGGTGATGTTCAGTGAGAGCCGAGAGGATCAGTGTGTTGAGCGCTTCTTGATATGTGGAGTAGGAAGGGGAGAGATTAATCTTGTATGCCCTCTTCTGCACTTTTTCTAGGTGTGTACGTTGTGTGGCATTTAGGAGGAAGTGTGTGTGTGTGTGTGTGTGTGTGTGAATAATGATTGTGAGGCCTGACAAAATGATGTTTCAACTGGGTCGTTTTGGTGTGGTCGTTACGGTTTGGTCATGGTGTAGTCGTCATAGGTCTTGATGTAGTCGTCAAGGTGTGGTAACCTCTAATGTAGTTGTCATTGTGTGGTCGTCAAAGTGTGGTCGTCATACCGCCTTGAAACTCGAATATACTAAAAAAATCTCCTTTAATTTGGGGAACTATTAAAGTCACATTTTTAACATCGGGCGAAATAAGCTAGGGTGTCTAATCTTCATGTGATCCATAACTACTCCTAGCTACTGTGGTGGAGGCCTATGGTGGTGGTGATGGTCGGTGGTGGAGGCCTATGGTGGTGGAGATGACGGTGGTGGAGGCCTATGGTGATGGGGGTAGACAATGATGGTAGTGGTGGTGGACAATGATAGTGGTGGTTGTGGTAGTGATGGTAATGGTAATAGTTTTGGTGGACTTGGTGGTGGTTGCAGTTGTGTTGATGGTGGAGTAGTAGTTGTGGTGATGGTAGTAGTGGTAGTATTTGCGGTGGTGGTAGTAGTTGTGGTGGTGATGGTGGTGGTGATGGCACAGTATGTTGCTGGACATCTCAGACACCTCAGCGTCTCGGAGGTGTTTATGTTTATCAGGTATAGCAAAGAGGAGGCAGGGGAGGTTCATAGGGCAGAGTGACACTTGACACCAGCCGTGGGGAGGTGACCTTGTGTCAGAGGAGGCAGGGGAGGTTCATAGGGCAGAGTGACACTTGACACCAGCCGTGGGGAGGTGACCTTGTGTCAGAGGAGGCAGGGGAGGTTCATAGGGCAGAGTGACACTTGACACCAGCCGTGGGGAGGTGACCTTGTGTCAGAGGAGGCAGGGGAGGTTCATAGGGCAGAGTGACACTTGACACCAGCCGTGGGGAGGTGACCTTGTGTCAGAGGAGGCAGGGGAGGTTCATAGGGCAGAGTGACACTTGACACCAGCCGGGAGGGTCAGAGGAGGTAGGGGAGGTAGGCAGAGACACTTGACACCAGCCGTGGGGAGGTGACTCAGTCAGAGGAGGCAGGGGAGGTCTGAGAAGGTGGAGGGACACTTGACACCAGCCGTGGGAGGGACCTTGTGTCAGAGGATGTAGGGAGGCTCATAGGGCAGAATGCACGGACACCAGCCGTGGGGAGGACTTTGTGTCAGAGGAGGCAGGGGAGGTTCATAGGGCAGAATGACACTTGACACCAGCCGTGAGGGACCTTGTGTCAGAGGAGTGTAGGGAGGAATTATAGGGCAGAGTGACACTTGACACCAGCCGTGGGGAGGTGACCTTGTGTCAGAGGAGGCAGGGGAGGCTCATAGGGCAGAGTGACACTTGACACCAGCCGTGGGGAGGTGACCTTGTGCTAGGAGAGAGGTGGTACCTGGCACTGGCAGTCGTGTGTGGGCGCTGGGAGCTGACACCTGTGCCCAGTATCTCCTTGCTTCCTAGAACTCCTCTGATAAGTTGATTACCTGAATCCTGTCCAGAGGTTCGGTTCTCCCACCAGCCACTTTCATTACACCGTAGATGTTTTATGATTATCATTATGCAAACAGCAGAAATAAACGGTATCTCTCCATCTGTCATACGATGTGAACAGTCATCACGCTAACTCTCTGTAAGCGATGATTGTGAGTCAGTGTCTGGCGGTGATGTGTGTTTAACGGCAGCGGGAAGTAGGGAGTTTACAAGGCCAACTGTATGTCTGACTGTCCTACCACCACGAGAGGTGATCCACGTGTCACCAGGAACAACAGACATCCTCCAACTCACCTTAATACCTTATATTTGGCAGCAGAATGATTAAAATGTACTTATTTATACTGGATAACTCCAATAAGTGTCCATTAAGGGCCATCTTCTATGTGTTCAGTGCTAGTACAGGAGAAAACTGTAATACTTGGAGAAAATCTGTCACTATTGAAGTAGTCTTGCCTCAGTACAGTAGTCTTGCCTCAGTACAGTAGTCTTGCCTCAGTACAGTAGTCTTGCTTCAGTACAGTAGTCTTGCCTCAGTACAGTAGTCTTGCTTCAGTACAGTAGTCTTGCCTCAGTACAGTAGTCTTGCCTCAGAACAGAAGTCTTGCTTCAGTACAGTAGTCTTGCTTCAGTACAGTAGTCTTGCTTCAGTACAGTAGTCTTGCCTCAGTACAGTAGTCTTGCCTCAGTACAGTAGTCTTGCTTCAGTACAGTAGTCTTGCCTCAGTACAGTAGTCTTGCCTCAGTACAGTAGTCTTGCCTCAGTACAGTAGTCTTGCCTCAGTACAGTAGTCTTGCCTCAGTACAGTAGTCTTGCTTCAGTACAGTAGTCTTGCCTCAGTACGGTAGTCTTGCCTCAGTACATTAGTCTTACAGCGATAGTGATCTGAAAATTAGAAAACATTAAACCTTTAACTTCAATAATGTCGTAAATGAACCAATATCCTCGACCAAACGTAGAAGAGAGATATTGGTTAGGTAAATTGACAAATACAATTCACGTCGAGAGCTCTGTAAACTGTCGGGTCCAATTTAGGTTAGGTTACGTTAGGTTAGGTTAGTTTTACCTGAAGTAAGGTTCGGTTAGGTTAAGTTAGCGTTAGATTGGTTAAGCATTAGGTTAGCGGTTAGTGTTAAGTTAGGTCAGATTAGGTAAACTTTAAGGTGGTTAATCACTTACAAGTAATTTAGTGGAACGAAGATTCTGTTCATAAATAATTGTTTTATACAGAAAGTAGACGACAGAGTTATTTGTGGAATATTAGTTGACTTATTTATCAAAGTTTACGAGTTGAAGCAGGGGTCAGGGGTGGGTGTAGAGGGTCAGGGTGTGGAGATAAGGGGTGGGTGTGATATGAGTAGTGGTAAGGGGTAGGGTGGGGGGGTGAGGGAATGAAGGGGGTGAGGGTTAGGGGATGAAGGGGTGGGGGTGATGTGAGTGGTGGTGAGGGGGTGGGGGTGAGGGGATGGGGGTAAAGGGGTGAGGGTGATGTGAGTGGTGCTGAAGGAGTAGGGAGTGGGGGTAAGAAGGTGAGAAAGAGCCAGAAGGTACGTGGGAGTAAGTTGCAGGTCAGCAGGTGGCGCCCCTCGACACGACACTCGCTTTATAAAGAACATTATCTTACATATCCAGGTAAGGAGACAACAACCAGATCTAAAGTCTTCACAAATATTAAAAAAAAAAAAAAAATATTTCTCCTACAAGTTTAAGATCACATGAAGATAGTGAGAATGAGACGAGGTGAACACTATAATTAGGAGTGTACATTCAATAATGAGAATCAGTCTAACATATACAGTATCTCTGATGTTGACTGCACCAGCCATCACACCAGTAGTTACACAGATGATGGTTGTGTTGTTGGCTGGGTCACACCTCACGCCGGGGAAGCTTGTAGTGCCAACATCTAACACTCAAATGCACATACCAATTAAATTTTCTTCAATAGGACAAATAACTTAATGAAGGTGTACTGCTGAGGCTTCTCGTCTGTTTCATTGTTTGTGTATGTATGTATGTATGTATGTATGTATGTATGTATGTACACCAGCAGTAGATAAGGTTAACATTAGTCTACGGGAGTTAAAGGCTCCAAAAACTGATGCTTGACAGACGACGACCATAACAACAGAGGCTACTGTACTTTGTTTGTCTCAGTGACGGGAAGTACCAAGACCAGTTATGATGATCAGTAGAAAGTATCAAAGTGTATTAAAATTTCATCTTATAATATTTTTGTCTGTATGTAGTGAAATAAGACGACTAATACTCAACAGCTTGAAGGAGGAAGAAGGCTTTTAATAATGATTGTGTGTTATGTTACATATTATCACGTTTATCTGTGTGGGGACTGTGATGCCGGGGAGGAGGCCCCACACGGGGTACACTCGGCCAGCGTCTTGTAAACATGTCGCGTTTAGTGTTAGTATGATATTCTGGGATATTCTTCCAGGGTAGATGTCTACGTCGACCAGAAAATATAATTTTATTGGTGATAATGATCTATGGCCGAAGGTAATAATGTTGGTTTGACTTAAAATTGCGGCGTTTGTAGTGAGGCGGCAACAGGTGATGGTGTGTGAGAGAGCAGAGGCTTCACCTACTGTGTGTTGAGGACGCGTACCAACAACAGTACAGGTGATGGCAGCCAGGTTTATTAATGTGTTTGTCCTGGTGTTGATGGTGCGCCAGTGGACAGTTCTGGTGAGTGCCGAGGAGTGTCCTTACTACATGGACATCTTGCCCTGCGTCTGTACACAGGATAAGGAGACTCTGGAGGTGGATTTAAACTGCTCGCGGGTGGTGGACATCGAACAACTGAAGCAGATCTTTGAGGCAGAGTTTCCCTCCATCAACTTCAGGGAATTGACTATGGACGGCACAGCAGAGGACCCCGTGCCGCTGGACTACCTGCCTGACGGGGTCTTCGGCCCGGTAACTTTCAGAAAAGTTAACATTCGGTACACCAACGTGCAAGATATTGGAGACAATGTGTTGTTACACCTGAACTCAACACTGGAGGAACTGAGGCTGAATGACAATGAGCTACTGAGCTTCCCGACCGCAGATCTCCCTCACTTCCCCAAGCTTCTCTTCCTAGACATCTCCAGTAACAACCTAACCTTTATTGCTGACCTACACTCACTGACCCTAAACAGCCTTAACCTAGGACAAAACCCTGGCTTGTTCTTCACCACTGAGGCCTTCGTCAACGTCCCCAACCTCGTCGACCTAGACATAGGAAACTGCAGCTTGAAGTCACTGCAGCCCAACTTATTCACAGAGCAGTGGTTCCTCGCTACTCTCAACCTGCAGCTGAACCACATCACCGAACTGGACGCCTCCTCCCTCAACTTCCCCAACAACTCCCTCAACGAGATCATTCTCTCCGGTAACCAGATAACTACTGTTAACAAAGGTTTTATTTCAGGTAAGTGTGTCCATGTGCCTTAGATGCTGAGCTGTAGGGAGGAGAGGTTAGTTAGTTACCGGGAGAGGCCGCCACCACCCCACCAGAGTCACCCACACGTACTATCCTAGCTAGACGCAACCCACGCATCCCTATCCCCTAGCTAGACACGACCCACTCAGCCCTCTCCTAGCTAGATACGACCCACTCAGCCCTCTCTTAGCTAGACGCAACCCACTCAGCCCTCTCCTAGCTAGATACGACCCACTCAGCCCTCTCTTAGCTAGACGCAACCCACTCAGCCCTCTCCTAGCTAGATACGACCCACTCAGCCTCTCTAGCCTAGATACGACCCCACTCAGCCCTCTCTCTTAGCTAGACACCAGCCACTCCAGCCCTCTCCTAGCTAGATACGACCCCACTCAGGCGCCTGTAGCTGGGCACCCAACCCCTCCAGCCCTCTCCTAGCTGGGCATGACCCACTCAGCCCTCTCCTAGCTAGACTGGTGACCCACTCGGCCCTCTCTTAGCTAGACGCAACCCTCATCCCTCCCCTAGCTAGACACCGACCCACTCAACCCTCTCTTAGCTAGACGCAACCCCTCAGCCCTCTCCTAGCTAGACACGACCCTCCTCCCTCTCCCTGGCTGGGCAGGCCCGCTCTCCTCCCTCTCCTCATAGCTGGGCACGGCCCTCAGCCTCTCCTAGGTGGGCCGACCCCTCCTCCCTCTCCTAGCTGGAGCGACCCACTCCTCCCTCTCTCCTCATAGCTGGAGCGACCCTCAGCCCTCTCCTAGCTGGGCCCGGCCCTCCTCCTCTCCTCAAAGCTAGATGCGACCCTCCTCCCTCTCCTCATAGCTAGACACGACCCACTCAGCCCTCTACAGCTAGACCGCGACCCTCCTCCCTCTCCTCATAGCTAGACACAGCCCCTCAGCCCTCTCTTAGCTAGACGCAACCCTCATCCCTCCTAGCTAGATACGTCCCTCCTCCCTCTCCTCACTTAACTTCAGACACGACCCACTCAGCCCCCTCTCCTAGCTAGACACGACCCTCCTCCCTCTCCTCGCAGCTGGGCACGACCCACTCCTCCCTCTCCTCCTTGGCCTAGACACGACCCTCAGCCTCCTACTAGCTGGGCTTGCGACCCACTCCTCCCTCTCCTCATAGCCCCTAGGCGACCCCACTCAGCCCTCTCCTAGCTAGACACGACCCACTCAGCCCTCTCCTAGCGAGACACGACCCACTCAGCCCTCTCCTAGCTAGACACGACCCACTCAGCCCTCTCCTAGCGAGACACGACCCACTCAGCCCTCTCCTAGCGAGACACGACCCCCTCATCCCTCTCCTCCTATCTACCAAGCTGTGCAGATTATGTGCAAGATTTACTTGCCTGGAAAAGTCATAACTCGTAACTCCTGTCAGTTCACCTCACACCTGTAGGCTGTGTGGGGAGCAGGCGGCAGCACCCTACTCACCACTCCCCCCTATAGCCTGGCGTCAGCACCAGCGGTAACACTTGTCATGTGAAGTCGTAGCTCCTGTCACCTCACCTCTACAGCCTCTCAGCTTGGCGGTTCATTTGAAATGTTGGCTGCTTAATGGAGAGATTAAATTACCTGTACCTGCCTGGTCAACATGTGAGCTTATCTACCGGGCCCTAAAGATCACTTCCCGGTCCGTAGTCCAGGCACGACCGGGTGCCGGGCACTGCTTATCTGCCCAGCCTGAGAGTCTCTAGAGACGACCCATTCATCTCTCTCCTCTCGACAGGGACGAGTGGGGAGCTCTACCTGGTGATGATGGAAAACCAACTGCAGGAGCTTCGTCAGGAGGTGTGGCAACCCGTGTTCCAGGCCATGGCTGACGATGGAGGCAGGGGCTTTGTTGTGTTAGATGGTGAGGCCTCTGTCTCTCTCAGCCACACGGTTATTGCTGTCTCACTTAACTCTTGTTACTATTGTCACCATCATTGTTGGCTTCATGATTACCTGCGTGACATTTTCTACTGTTTATAGATTCATCACTATCATCGTTATCATACTGGCCCTGTCATCATTATCATCACCATCACACCTGTCAACATCATCATCATCATCATCATCATCATACCTGTCTTCACCATCATCAACACACCCATCAGGTTATCATCCAATTCAGATGTAACTAAACACCTCCCTCCCCCCCTTCCTTCACTACCCACACAGGTAACCCGCTGGTGTGTGGCTGCAGCATCGGGTGGCTGGTCGCGTCAGAACACCTGCTCAAGCACTTAGCCAAAGGTGCCAAGTGTAACAACGGCACCTCGATCTTCTCCCTTGACCCCGACTACTACACCTCCAATTGTTACTAAACTACACCAAATATAAACAATTTGTAACATGTATCTAATGAGCCATTGTAATTGTACAGTAGTGTTATTAAATATCTATGTATATATATGTTAGTCTCTTTGTGTGTTTTATCCATCCTAAGTAAATTAAAAACATATTAAGTTTATAGATATCAGTTGTATCTTGTCGTTGGGGAGGTGGGTGTGTGTGAGAGAGAGAGAGAGAGAGAGAGAGAGAGAGAGGACATGTGATAAATTTTCAGCCTCTACACGCGGTTTTTTTTCTGTTTTCCTTTACTATACAAGACAATGTTTCCCTCTACTGGCCCTCACTAAGTCTCACCCTAACTCAACCACCATTACACTTCCTCTTCAATAATTATAATCATAAATATTTTAAGTGTTATGTTTGCTTAAAGGAGTAACGATTAAATTTCTACAGGGTATTTTCACCTGTAATAATAATAACAATAATAATAATAATAATAATAATAATAATAATAATAATAATAATAATAATAATAATAATAATAATAATAATAATAATTCACAGTTACTTCCTAAAGATAAGCACAATCATTCACAGCAAATATTTAATTCTTCTCACATTTACGTTTCACAATTCCTAGACATATTAATTTGTACCATTTTTAAGTTAATTTACGATCGCTTCCCAAATTTTCGACTCGTTTTGGAAGATAAATCCACTGGAATATATAACACAAGTCGCGTACTGGATGACATAAGAGTGGGTGGGTGTTGTGTATACAGAACCTACACCAAGTCTCCATACTGTGTCACAAGTACAAACATAACCTGTAGTATATGTGATTTGGGGGTAAAATTGGTTAGGTTAGGTAATATTGGATTTCCAAGTCTTTTTACCACGAACAGCTTCTGAAAATGGATCCAATAGGTATGACATAGTGTACTATCCATCAAGCTTACGGTACACAGCGTGGCCACCAGTACTGGATTTGACCGCCTCTCTCCTCTGCCCCACCAGCCAGCCTTTAGACAGATCGTTGTCCACTTGGCATATTTACCATTTACACAGTTTCTCATGGACCCTCGAAGATTTACCAGGAGCACTGTAATATAATAATAATGATAGTACATAAAAACATAAGAATGGAGGAAACTGCAGCGGGACCGGCCCTCTTGACCCACACTAGGCAGTCCCGTTTACAGCCAACCCCTATCGATCATATATCCGTTCAATGAATGTTTAAAGAGGATAATTGTGAGTGATTCCAGGAAGATGGTGAAGGCAACAGACGGAACCTGAAAGTTACGGTAACTTGATAGTACTTGACCTCCTCCACCTCTCTCCACAGTGGCTGTGTGCGTGTGATTTAGGAGGTGTATGTGCGTGTGTGTCTGCCAAATCGACCCCCTCACCTGGGAAACGATCACTCCACCATAACACTTGGTGAGCACCACACGAGAAGGTGTCAATACTTTCGAGATAGCCCGACTTCATACCGAAGCAGACAGGCGCCAGCGCCAGAAAGACAGCCGCTGCCCCTCCCGCACTAGATGTAGCCCTCCACACGTGCAACATCTATAGATGGCCCTGCCGATCCCATATCGGCCTCTCGAGGCACCTCAGAGCTCACCAACGAAGGTGACATCCTTAATAACTCATATCATTGTATCATAGCTGGATGATCGTCATACTCGATTCCAAGTGACAACAAAGTAGGAGTAGTAGTTAGTAGTAGTAGTAGTGTGTGTGTGTGTGTATGTGTGTGTGTAGCTTATACCAACTGATGGATATAAAATTAGGTTGTATCAAAGGTATTGTGTGTATAAATAATGAATATTCAAGATTATGGGTAATGGCCAAGAGAAGTTAATTAGCCCAGTAGTATAACTTATTGATGTCACGAGGCCACCTGATAAACACCACCGCTCAGATTCTGGTGATGAAGCCGGACTATCACCATCACACGGAGGTTCTCACCGGCCAGATGGTGTCATACACAAGGACTACACATTCTACTCTGGCAGTATGTTCTTCTAAACGCTCCAGCTTATCTGAGGTAAAAGCTGCAAGCGTACTGGAAACATTTATAAGCTGAACAATACAGGGGTATATGTAGCCGAATTTAATCTGATAAGTTCTTGTGTTTTAGCCTCACCAGATGATACTGTAAAAATATTCCGACTTTTGTTCACATTCATAACCAAAAATAATATTGGAACACCTTAGAGCTGCCAGATGCTTTAGGAACTGGTATTGTCTTATTACGTTACTACCAATTAAATGTATTGTATTATTTCATAGTAAATTAAAGTCTTAAAAAATTCTAGAACGTGTATTATGCACATGGTAATTAAAACTACTTCTCCTTCAAATCCACGAAAACACAAATAGAAGTGAAAGGAAATCGTCTGTTCTAAAGGATTTGGGCCACGTTCCACCATCATTAAGGCATGCAAAATAGAAACTGATACTAGAATGTCTGGAACAAGCGTAACACACGAGGCTTAAACGACCATTAGATGCGAGGGACAAGGGTCATCAAATTGCTGTTTAGTCGTACATTGTGGCCGACGCTTAGCAGCAACACGACACTACACGGTAATGCTGTAACAGGATCACCACACTGTACACGGTAATGCTGTAACAGGATCACCACACTGTACACGGTAATGCTGTAACAGGATCACCACACTGTACAAGGTAATGCTGTAACAGGATCACCACACTGTACACGGTAATACTGTAACAGGATCACCACACTGTACACGGTAATGCTGTAACAGGGTCACCACACTGTACACGGTAATGCTGTAACAGGATCACCACACTGTACACGGTAATGCTGTAACAGGATCACCACACTGTACACGGTAATACTGTAACAGGATCACCACACTGTACACGGTAATACTGTAACAGGATCACCACACTGTACACGTAAGCACTGTAACAGGATCACCACACTGTACACGGTAATGCTGTAACAGGATCACCACACTGTACACGGTAATGCTGTAACAGGATCACCACCACCACTGTTTCACGGTACACTGTAACAGGATCACCACACTGTACACGGTAACTGTAACAGGATCACACAGTAGCACTGTAACAGGATCACCACTGTACACGGTAATGCTGTAACAGGATCACAACACTGTACACGGTAATGCTGTAACAGGATCACCACACTGTACACGGTAATGCTGTAACAGGATCACCACACTGTACACGGTAATGCTGTAACAGGATCACCACACTGTACACGGTAATGCTGTAACAGGATCACCACACTATACACGGTAATACTGTAACAGGATCACCACACTGTACACGGTAATACTGTAACAGGATCACCACACTGTACACGGTAATACTGTAACAGGATCACCACACTGTACACGGTAATACTGTAACAGGATCACCACACTGTACACGGTAATACTGTAACAGGATCACCACACTGTACACGGTAATACTTTATATGGATCACCACACTGTACACACTGTACACACTGTACACAGTAGCACTGTAACAGGATCACCACACTGTACACGGTAATACTGTAACAGGATCACCACACTGTACACGGTAGCACTGTAACAGGATCACCACACTGTACACGGTAATGCTGTAACAGGATCACCACACTGTACACGGTAATGCTGTAACAGGATCACCACACTGTACCTGACCAATGCTGTAACAGGATCACCACACTGTACGCAGTAATACTGTAACAGGATCACCACACTGTACACAGTAATGCTGCAACAGGATCACCACACTGTACACGGTAATACTGTAACAGGATCACCACACTGTACACGGTAGCACTGTAACAGGATCACCACACTGTACACGGTAATGCTGTAACAGGATCACCACACTGTACACGGTAATGCTGTAACAGGATCACCACACTGTACACGGTAATGCTGTAACAGGATCACCACACTGTACACGGTAGCACTGTAACAGATCACGCCTCGCTAACGCAGCATATATAGAGTCCATGTTTATACGACAACCCTAAATAATTACTATATTTCAGGAAGTGTAATCAACAAGAACAGTAAAATCAGTAGTCATAAACTCTGATCATATCACTTCGTTGACTATAAACGTTCTTCACAGTGTTATTTAGTACTGGTATTACATTGAAGCAGGTGTACTAACTCATTCTACCTCCTGTTGGTGTACTGTGTTACATTGATTGACGCCGTGTGTTACGTTTAATCTTGTCTCATATCCTGTAACGTTTGTCAGCCTCTTATGACAGATGTACTACAACGTGATGTGTGTGTGTGTTACTCTCTCTCTCTCTCTCTCTCTCTCTCTCTCTCTCTCTCTCTCTCTCTCTCTCTCTCTCTCTCTCTCTCTCTCTCTCTCTCACCTCAGGAAACAGATGATGGTGTGTGAGGGTATCAGCATCCTCTGGGTCACGCTTGGCCTGCCTCTACACTGCTGGGTGGGGCGGGTTGAGGTAGGGCGGGGCAGGGTAAAGCGGGGAGAGGCAGGGCGGGGAGGGGTGGGAGGGGGGACGGGGCGAGGTAGGGCTATCAAGAGATATTTACAAGTATTATACGAGTATTTACAACCTTGACACACTGACGTCATCTCCCTTTCACGAATCACAGACGATATAAAAAGAAAAATGTTTTCGTCTTTAACGTAAACACAATAATATTTCCAGCTCAAAAACCTTCGTGATTAATTATATTGGTAATCTGTTCTCATCCTCACATAACTGAGCACTTTCTCCACACGTTAACACTAGGTCTGTAAACACGTCACGTCACCTCTTTAAGTATCTTGTTGTTACCACACTTTTAAGTCCTCTGAGGGTTAAGCCATTGGTATTAAAGGGTTAAATCATAGTTCTCGAGAGGTGAATCCATCATCTTTCAAAGATTTAATCCGCACTCCTCAAACGGTTAAATTATAATCCTCAAAAGGTTAAACTATTGGTCTTAAAGGGTTAAAACCTAGTCTTCAAAAGGTTAAAACATATTATTCAAAGGTATAAGCTACAATCACTAAGGGCTGAACCATGTCACAAAGGGTTACACTATAGTCCTCAAAGGGATAATCCATATTACTCAAAGGGTTAAACCACTAATCTTAAAGGGTTAAATCATCGATGTTAAAAGGGTTGAATCATCAATCTTTTAAAGGGTTAAACCATCAACTCTCAAGAGGTCAAGGCTGGTAAGAGTGACCTATGTTGTATGAAGGGTGTTTGGATCTCTCATGAGGGGGTGTGGTGTTTGGATCTCTCATGAGGGGGTGTGGTGTTTGGATCTCTCATGAGGGGGTGTGGTGTTTGGTGACAACGCTGAATGTTTTACTTGTGTGTCGGGTTGTGTGTGTGTGGGAGTGAGGGTGAGTGTGTGGGGGTGTAGGGGGGGGGATGAATGTGGGGGATGCAAGTGTGTGGGGTGTAAGTGTGGTGGTGTTTTACGGGTAGGGGGGGGGATGAATGTGGGGGATGCAAGTGTGTGGGGTGTAAGTGTGGTGGTGTTTTACGGGTGGTGGTGGCATAATTTACGGTAGGCGGGTAATAACTTGCGCAGCGATATATTGTAGGAATTCATGGCACAATTTATGGTACAATTTCATGGTTCGGCGGTGGTCCGGTAAACGCTCTAAGTGCTACCATTCTGTTCACGTCTCGCTCTGCTGGTGGGGGGAGGGGGGAGTGATGGCAGGGTGAGAAGAGGGGTGATGGTAGGGAGAGAACAAGGGGAGGAAGGGGGTGATGGTAGGGAGAGAAGAGGGGGAGGGAGGAGTGATGGTAGGGAGAGAAGGGGGAAGTAAAGTCTGGGGGGGGTCGGGTTAGAAAGAATGAGATCAGGGGGAGGGAGGCAGGTACAGTATATTAGGAGAGATGTCTACACCAACCACTCACCTGTACAGAGACCAATATCTCATATATACACCAGGAAGAACCCAAGTATGACGTGGTTATAAGAGAATTTTATATTATAGTTTATACCAATAAACACGTATTTCCAAGTATATCTATAGCGTATATCTTTCAGCTGAGAGGCACTATAGCGTATTTTCCTTTACCAGCCATGTTGCTGTTGTTGTTGACATCTCTTTAGAAGTATTAGCCGTCTGGAGTAAACAGTATGTGGCTCCATTCACCTCTCCCCGCCCCGCCTCGCCTCGCCTTCCCACCACATTAGCTCACGTCACATGAATGGATAACCTCAAGGAGTGACAAAACATGACCCTCGCCACACAAAGATCTGTTTTCTTGGTGTTGTGGTGGAGGAGGGGGTGTGTGTGGCGTGGCTTGTTATATATCCTTCAATACAAGTTACCAGATGCTTATTATGCACACAGGTAATATATATGTAGGTGGTTTCTTATCCTAACTGGAGGTGTAGTTTCGAACGCCAGCTTGTTTGTGATTTGCGTTCGTAATGTAGCCAAAGTGGTTCTTATTCGATGCGTTTGGATATTTATAGTAAAGCGATCAGTAATGTAAGAGCTCTGTGGTCTGGTTAGGAGGTTAGGTTAGGTTTAGGAGTTAATGATACACATATTTGTATTATATGTTATTAAAGACTTGAATAAAATATATAGGATTTTACTGTCTATATTATACTTAAAATATTAAAATTATATTCCCAATTATTATTAAACTTTAGAAGAAATATAATTTAAATTCAATAGAAAAAACAAACTAAATTATGACTAAGTTATAGTTAACATTTGATCCTTTTACTAATAATTACAATTATCTCCGAGGACTATATTTAATTTGTTGTGTGGTTTCCTTCTCGACTTCTCGTGCACCATTCTCAACTAACTTCGTGCACTGTCTCTGGAATTGGTGCACCATCTCACTGATTTTGTGCACTGCCTGTGAACTTGCTGCACCATTCTCACTGACTTGGTGCACTGTCTCTGGATTTGATGCACCATTCTCACTGACTTGGTGTTAGCGATTGACCAGAAGGAGGCCGACTGCTAACAGGCTGCCGGCGGCCCAGTGGAGGGAGGTGATAGAGGCGGCATTACACGTGTTGAAGCGATTGTAGTTGACCTCAGTAATGGAGCACCAGTGTAGCAGATGACAATTAGTGGTGCACACTGACGGGGACTCGAGACTCACCGTGTTGGCCTTGTAATACTTGTTGAACAGCGTCGAGTTTTTCTGGAGGAGAGATACAGGGGTTAGGTAATATACCTCACCACAACACCTGTGCTACGACAACACCTGCGACACGACAACATTTGCGACACGACAACACCTGCGACACGACAACACCTGCGCCACGACAACACCTGCGACACGACAACACCTGCGCCACGACAACATTTGCGACACGACAACACCTGCGACACGACAACACCTGCGCCACGACAACACCTGCGACACGACAACACCTGCGCCACGATAACATTTGCGCTCCAAGAACGCCTGCACCACAACAACACAATACAACACTAATACAACAGCATCAATACAACATCAATACAACAACAATATTTACCTTTTCGACTTGTGATATTTAACATGTATTGAGACACTGAGTATAAAGTGTAACTCACGCCGAGAAACATGACCCACTCACCTGGTGTTGATGACTCACCTAGTGACTCACTTGATGACTCACCTAGTGTTGATGACTCACCTAGTGACTCACTTGATGACTCACCTAGTGTTGATGACACACCTAGTGACTCGCTTGATGACTCAATGGTGTTGATGATTCACCTGATGTTGATGATTCCCATGGTGACTCACCTTAAGCTTCATGACTCACCTTAAGCTTAATGACTCACCTTAAGCTTAATAACTCACCTTAAGCTTAATGACTCACCTTCATATTCTTAGCGAGGTTGTAGAGGGACTCGGGGTTGATGGAGGTGAGGTTGTACTCAGAGGTGAAGTTGTACTCGAACTTAAAGTCTGCCTTTCCGTCCTTGTTAGCCTGAGCCAGATCCAAGTAATAGGTCGACACCTCCTTCACCTGCAGGAGACGTGAGGGGAGTGACTTGTAGAGTAGGTGAGGGGAGAGGGGAGGGGAGGAGAGGAGTGGAGAGGGAGGTCAGGGGAGTATATACATCTGTAAGAGGGCAAGTGAGGTGGAGAGGGTGAGGGAAGAGAAGAGGGGAGAGAAGAGGGGAAAGAAGAGAGGTACTTTTCTGGACGAGGGGAGAAGTACCATGACAACAGGCTTGGTGAGACTGAAATATCTGTTGATTACGAGGAGATACTGGGTCTGTTACTGGGTCTGGTACTGGGTCTAGTGCTGGATCTGGTACTGGGTCTGGTACTGGGTCTGAGTACTAGGTCTGGTACTGGGTCTGGTACTGGGTCAAGGTACTAGGTCTGAGTACTGGAGTCTCTGTGCTGGAGTCTGGTACTAGGTCTGGTACTGGGTCTGGTACTGGGTCTGGTACTAGGTCAGTACTAGGTCTGGTACTGGGTCTGGTACTGGGTCGTACTGTGTCTGGTACTGGGTCTGGTACTGGGTCTGGTACTAGGTCTGGTGGGTCTGGTACTGGGTCTGGAACTAGGTCTTTTACCGGATCTCTCAACGGTATAAGGGACTTCACAATTACTGGGGATTTTAGAACTACCGGGGACTTACCTTACCGGTGACCGTGTCGTAAGAGATGAGCCGGATACCGGGATTGTTGGCACCGGTTTCCTTAGAGAGTGTAGAGCGCCAGGGTGTGACTCCAGGCGCGATCAGCTGGTAAGAAACGGGGATGCCTGGATCGTGGTCCTGCTGGTTCTTGAAAAACAACCTGGAAATAGTCATAGATCAGACAACAACAACAACAAAAACAACAATAACAACAAATAAACGTCTTGAATATGGAACAAGACGATTACCTAATGCATCTTCACTATTATATTCACCCTCATGAAGGCTCACACACCTGTTGGGTCACCTGAGGACCTACCTGAAGGAGTCGGTGTGGTGGTGAGCGAAGAATTGAGCCTCGATAACCTCGGCATGATTCTGAACCATCTGTGGGTGGTAGGAACGTGGTTAGTTATGGTGGAGGGTAAGACTGAGACGTGGTTAGTTATGGTGGAGGGTAAGACTGAGACGTGGTTAGTTATGGTGGAGGGTAAGACTGAGACGTGGTTAGTTATGGAGATGCAAGACTGAGACGTGGTTGAGATTATGGTGGAGGGTAAGACTGAGACGTGGTTAGTTATGGTGGAGGTAAAGACTATATGAGACAGTAGTTAGTTATGGTGGAGGTAAGACTATGTGAGACGTGGTTAGTTATGGTGGAGGTAAGACTATGTGAGACGTGGTTGGATTATATGGTGGAGGTAGACTGGGTAGTGGTTAGTTATGGTGGAGGTAAGACTATGTGAGACGTGGTTAGTTATGGTGGAAATTTGGAGACGTGGTTAGTTATGGTGGAGGTAAAGACTGAGACGTGGTTAGTTATGGTAGAGGTAAGACTATGTGAGACGTGGTTATGGTTATGGTGGAGGGTAAGACTGAGACGTGGGTTAGGTTATGAGGTGGAGGGTACAGACTGAGACGTGGTTAGTTATGGTGGAGGGTAAGACTGAGACGTGGTTAGTTATGGTGGAGGGTAAGACTGAGACGTGGTTAGTTATGGTGGAGGGTAAGACTGAGACGTGCTTAGTTATGGTAGAGGTAAGACTATGTGAGGCGTGGTTAGTTATGGTGGAGGTAAGACTGAGACGTGGTTAGTTATGGTGGAGGGTAAGACTGAGACGTGGTTAATGATGGTGGAGGGTAAGACTATGTGAAGAACACGTACCTTGATGAACTGGTCGTTGTAGCGGGTTTGGTACCAGTGGAAACCCTCTTTCTTCTGTTGGTACCTCTCGAACGTACCGGGAGGGATGTGGCCCATGAGGTACACCTGAAAAATAGTGCTACAGTGTTTGTTTCTGTAAGTTACAGTATGGTACACGATTCTGTTAAGGAGGAGGAGGTTAGTTATACGGATTACCTATATATTTACAGTGAAACCTCCATATAGCGGATTCCTCTCTCCTTATAGTCCGGTAGATGGAGGTTTCACATATAACGGACCTTCGATATAACGGACTTTCCTCTCCATATAATCCGTTTTTAAGGATTTGTATTTACTCTTAACAACCTGTATAATCTCAGAGCCGTGCCATTATAAACAAGGGTATATAACGTAATGCTATTTCCCTTACGACACAAAATGACCCTTACTTCATCCCTCCAAAAGATCGCTATTAAGTTGCTTCTACGTGTTACTTGGTGTAATTATTTAGGGTTAAGCCATGACTCGTGTTAAGTTGGTAATGCAGTCTATTCGAATTAGATTTAATTTAGGCACAATAGTTAATTTCACCTGAAAATTAATCACCTTAACTCTAATCTAACCTAAACTAATCTAACCCATATTAACCTAACCTAACCTAACCTAATCTAAGACCTGTCATCCTCTAACAGTGTATAGTAAGTATCTGTCCCATGAACTCAACCCTGAACTATACAAAATCGACTGCAGTATTGACTTACTCTACGGCGTCTCTTGGCCAAGATAGTAAGGATATTGTTAGCCCAGGCGAACTGTTGTCCAGGATCTTGGCCATTAGGGTCGGTGTCCGGCAGTTTGGCGGTGTTAGTGTTGCTCTTGTACCAGGTGAGTGTGTTCAAGCCGATGATGGTCACGTTGGTGCCTGGTACGTCCGTCCAATAGCGCCCATCTGTACCGTGATGATGTACACAACTTAACATAAGACTTAACATAAGACTTAACATAAAACTTAACATAAAACACACAGCACACCTCTCAGCCAGCACATCTCTCAGCCAGCACACCTCTCAGCCAGCACACCTCTCAGCCAGCACACCTCTCAGCCAGCACACCTCTCAGCCAGCACACCTCTCAGCCAGCACACCTCTCAGCCAGCACACCTCTCAGCCAGCACACCTCTCAGCCAGCACACCTCTCAGCCAGCACATCTCTCACCTGACGTATCTCTCACCTGAATGTGTGTTTTAAGTGGTTGTATCTCTCACGTACCCTTTTGGAAGGACTCGTGAGCCTCGTCAGTAAGCCACTTCTTCCACAGCTTGGCCACCTCTCCCTGTAAGTCGCTCTCTCCTACCGGCACCTGTCAGGAAAGCATGAAGGATGTCACAATAGGATCTGTGTGGAGGATGAGGGAATGTCATAAAGGATCTGGGACTTTCTTGGAGGATGTGGGACTTTCTTGGAGGATGTGGGACTTTCTTGGGGTTAGTAGTCGTGGTTACCTTAATGACTCACCTGGTTCTTGGGGTTAGTAGTTGTGGTTACCTTAATGACTCACCTGGTTCTTGGGGTTAGTAGTCGTGGTTACCTTAATGACTCACCTGGTTCTTGGGGTAGTAGTCGTGGTTACTTTAATGACTCACCTGGTTCTTGGGGTAGTAGTCGTGGTTACCTTAATGACTCACCTGTTTCTTGGGGTTAGTAGTCGTGGTTACCTTAATGACTCACCTGTTTCTTGAGGTTAGTAGTCGTGGTTACCATAATGACTCACCTGGTTTTTGGGGTAGTAGTCGTGGTTACCAAGTACAGGGAAGAAGGTAGTATTGGGGAAACTCCTGTTGAGTTTGTCAGTCAGTTCATGGATAATGTTCACTACTTTGGTCGTGGTAAAGTATTTGTCTGCCACGTGAGCTGTGTCATCCCTGGAGATGGTAGAGTAGGTTTATATGATAAGTCCTACATACACACACACATCCCCATATAAATAGATCAACAAACACACATCTTTATAAAACTTAACTAGTGAGTCGTATATACTGAAGGCATTTTGAACAGAATAAAAAACAAGATGGCCGACCCGCCTTTATCCCATAATGCATTGCGGTAAACAAACACTTACCCGGTTCTCCACACACACACTTACCCGGTCCAGCACACACACACTTACCCGGTCCAGCACACACACTCACCCGGTCCAGAGGATAAAGTCAGGTTTGGGTTGGATCTTGACCATGGCTTGTATGGCTGCCGTGACCAGTTCCAAGGGTGTGTCACAGCCGTAGTCCCCAAACTTACCGGGAGAGGTGTTGTCCACCCTCAACCAAATCAACCAGTTATTGAATTTAACTATGAATTAACTTAGGCGGTAATTACAATTGGTTTATTATTAGTTAAATCACGTGATCCATTTACCAGGAGGTTTATAATATAGTTGGTTTAATGTTTTAATTATTAGCTAGAGGAATAGACAAAAATATATGATTGGATAAGGTAAATTGACATGAACGGCAGGATAGAAGAGAGTGTAGTTCAGGATAGAATGGAACAGTAGGATAAGGGAAGTTGTCTTGGATAGTAAGAAATGCAGGATGGGAGGAAGTAGCCTCGGATAGTAAGAACGGCAGGATAGAAGAAAGTAGCCTAGGATAGTAAGAACGACAGGATGGAAGAATGTATAGCCTTGGATAGTAAGAACAGCAGGATAGAAGAAAGTAGCAAGGAAGAGAGGGCTAGACGACAGTGCCATACCTGTGGTCCCAACACATGTTTTGACTGTCACCTGTTGTAGTGTAGTTGACGTCATAGTGGAAATCTGTCACGTGCCAGAACGTTCCTGAGGGAGGAGACATATGGCTCAGGGGGTGAAAATGTATGTATGTATGTATGTATGTATGTATGTATGTATGTATGTATGTATGAATGTATGTATTGTTACGACCGTGTCGTATTTTTCTATTTTTTTTATATAACATGCTTCCATGTTCCATATTATTCCTGTAATGATGTGTTATATTTACTATTACATAATCTAGTCACCTTAACCCTGTGCTGTTAAGGTTTTAACTGTTATTATTTGTTCAAACCCATTTTGCATTGTAACAAGCATTCTTTGTTCTCTAACGACCATCTGCATCGTTAAACGACCCACCGGCGGGTCGCGTGGCGGGTGCCGACCGTATATATAGGACCCACCAGCAGACGGAGTTAGTTCAATAATCTTGTCATACAGTTCACATCATTTGAGTGCCACTCGTCACCTGTTACTTGTACTTAATTTATTTGTGTTGTTCCTGTCGCCACCAATGTGGTATATCTGTGTGAGTACCTATTTATGTCTCTATTTATGTCCATCAGTATTTGCTTAGTTACATTTAAGTAATTCAGTGTTGTTTCACGTTAGTTAATTTCAGTGTTCGTTTTTATATGTTTATGCAGTGTTAACGTAATCCAATGCTTTATTTTTATTCTTTTGATGTTTCGATGTTTTGTATAATTTGTGTCTTAAGTTTCGATGGTGAATCAATTTGTTGTGACAGCCTACGAGGCTCTTTATTGTGTTAATATTTAATTAATTAAGTTCTTAAAGGTTTACTTTATTTATTTTTATTCCCTTTTAATTTACTAAACATTTTTGTTTGGTTACGCCTAGAACCTGGATATTTAAGTAAATTAAGAGACGGAGTAACAGTATGTATGTATATCCACACCAACTATTTATTTATCAGTCTTATTCTTTGTCTTTATATATACCGTTCACACACACACACACAGTCGCTATATACTCACCAATCCTGGCTTGTGTGTGGTACGGGCAGGTCACCAACACCACCAAGATGATCCCCCACAGAGCCTTCTGCAACGTCACCATCGGACCACTGTAGGTCTTGCCTGGTGAAGGAAGGTACAGTGTTAATGTGGACTGGTGACATGTTAAGCGAGAGCTCCATATAACGGACTTATCTCATATTTAACGGACCCCTCGATATAATGGAGGTTTTATATTTAATGGACCCTCGATATAACGGATTTTCCTTTTCATATAATCCGCTAAATAGAGGTTTCACCGTAATGTACATCAGTGATGAGCAGTAATGCTAGCACGGGCAATAAGCATCGTCTGGCGGATACCTCTTTTTCAGTCTAGTGCTTGAAGTGGCGATCTGTTGGTGAGGTCTGCTGTCTTAGTGACCTCATGATGGTGGTAGTGGTGGTGGTGATGATGGTGGTGTTGATGGTGGTGTTGATGATGATGGTGGTGGTGATGATAATGGTGGTGGTGGTGGTGATAATGGTGGTGGTGATGATGATGGTGGTGATGGTGGTGATGATGATGGTGGTGGTGATGGTGGTGGTGATGGTGATGGTGGTGATGATGATGTGATGATGTGTGGTGTTGATGATGATGGTGGTGTTGATGGTATGATGATGATGGTGGTGTGATGGTGGTGGTGATGATAATAATGATGGTGGTGGTGATGGTGGTGATGATGATGATGGTGGTGGTGATGATGATGATGATGGTGGTGGTGGTGATGGTGGTGGTGATGATGATGATGGTGGTGATGATGATGATGGTGGTGATGATGATGGTGATGGTAGTGATGGTGGTGATAGTGATGGTGGTAGTGATGGTGGTGATAGTGATGATGGTGGTGATAGTTATAAGGATAGACAGTGAGAAATATTCAATTAAATAATCTCTTCTCGTTCTGACCCAACACACACACACACACACACACGAGGGTCTAGGTCACAGGGGTCAACAGCCATTATACAGTATTTGGCTACAATATAAACAAGAAATCAGTAATCTGCCTCAGATGTCAGTGTTATTTTGCAATATATATTAAAATCAGAAAAAAAGTAATTGGGGATTAATAAATACACCGTAGAACGTAACCATATATTCTGATAAGTACTAGTAATCAGAGTTCCCAAGTGATCCGCGAATTGCCAGTAATACCCTTTGACCTGCGCGGATATGCCTAGAACCCGCAAATACTGAAATGTGCATCCAACTGTGCGTGAGATTGTTTTATCATACTTGTATTGCTGTTATTATGACGTGATGGACAAGTAAGTTTATAAGTTTTCGTGTTAATTTAAAAGATTATTAGTATCTTGTTAGTTGAAGAGTACAATTGTTGGTAAAAGCTAAGGAGAGTGATTTAATTACGTTTGGTTGGTTTCAGTCACCATCGTCGTAGCCCCACAAACTGTTGCCGTCTCGTAAGAACACTTATAAAGTCTTACTGTAGGTTCATTATTTAATACTCTCACCTGATAAACATTTATACTTTACAACAAACACCTCCTTCAGATCCTGCCAGTATATAACGTGGTGTAACTGGCGACTTTCTCCTTAACCTTTACGAAAATATTTTATAATAATAAAGCGAGATGGAAGATTAATCTGATTATTTTTGTTCCAGGTGGGTGAAAGTTATCAGCTCCTGGAGGAACACGCATCACACTTCAGGTATGTCCAAGTCAGTTTTATCTATCAGTTATCATTGTTATTGTGCTTGTGTTGCGTCTCCGTTAAGTCGCCGTTACCTCCCGTGATGAAGATCAGGATCACGTTTGTTGTATAAAGTCTCGGGAAATTTTCTTCATCCAGCGATTTTCTAGATAATGACTTTCGTATATCATTAACTCAATCAATTTTCGCAACTTTGAATTATTTATGTCATTATTACATGAACTTTTAAGTCATTTTCCATCCCGTCATCATACATCTTATTAGAACTGTCATGTTGTCAAGTGTTTCTTGTGATTATCAAAGATCGGGACTGAATCTGGCGAGGAGGACGTCTCATAGTTATCTGGTTCTTTTAAAACATCCCTCCAGTTTGTTATGGTCTTCCTCTCTGATGCGCTGGTAGTTATTTGAAGGAAACACAGTATTCTTACGTAACCCAACCGACCCCAACCGACCCCAACCCAACCTTGAACATTAGAAGTAGGACCCCTAAGTGCGTGTTATAAGTTGAAATCAATATCCTTATGTCTGACTGACTCACAATACAAATTAGTCTATTAAGGGAATTGGAACCTCTCTCTCTCGCCTCACCCTTCACCATCTTTACAGTGTCATGATAACATTAAGTACTTACAGAGATATAGTGAGTAAAGGCTGGTGAACGACGTAACGTACAGAGTAACTCGACAACTCAGAGACGACTGTTGGTGGTGGGGATGGTGTTGGGGATGGTGGCGGTGGGGATGGTAGTGGTGGGGATGGTGGTGGTGTGGAAGAATGTCTTACGTCATGCTGGAGAAGCTCACTCAAGGTCACCCAGGTGTTGAGGGTGGTGTGAGGTGTTCTGAGAGGTAACGAGACAGCTGGTAACGAATCGGGTAACGAAACAGGTAATAACGAGACTTTTAATAACGACACAGGTGATAACGAAGTAGTTGGGTAGTCATATAACAACTAGTGAGTGATAGAGAATTAGATGATAACGGAGGAGTATCATACACAGCATGTGTGTGTGTGTGTGTGTGTGGTGTGTGTGTGTGTGGAAGCAGCAACAAGTTCCAAATAAACAGCCAGGTATGACGTCATCACTACATGTAAACAAACAAGGAATATTGAGTCGACGATCACCACCAAACAGTCAACAACAAAAACACAATAACAGCTTCTAACCTAACCTAACCTGACCTCCTTTCTTCTCATCCTTCCTCCTTCCCTTCCTACCTCTCTTACGTCTTTCCTCCTCCTTTCTTTTCTTTCTTTCCTCCACCTCCCCTTCACCACTGCCTCATATTCTTTTCCCTCACTCCCTCCTCTCCTCACTCCTGCCCTCACTTCTTCCCTCACCACCACACCACACCACCACCACACACACACCAACCAAAGCCCAGCCAAAAGTTACGCTCCAGTGTTATATTTTACTACAGTGATTTACCTTACGAGGCTGAGGCAGTATTTTACATAAGCACAATAAGCTGAAGCAACGTCAGTAACCGTAAATATTAATGCAAAGCTGTATGTATATGTTACCGTGATGGACCGTCCGTAAAGCTGTATGTATATGTTACCGTAATGGACCGTCCGTAAAGCTGTATGTATATGTTACCGTGATGGACCGTCCGTAAAGCTGTATGTATGTTACCGTGATGGACAGTCCGTAAAGCTGTATGTATATGTTACCGTGATGGACCGTCCGTAAAGCTGTATGTATATGTTACCGTGATGGACCGTCCGTAATGTTACCGTGATGGACCGTCCGTAAAGCTGTATATGTTACCGTGATGGACCGTCCGTAAAGCTGCATGTATATTTTACCGTGATGGACAGTCCGTAAAGCTGTATATGTTACCGTGATGGACCGTCCGTAAAGCTGTATATGTTACCGTGATGGACCGTCCGTAGAGATTCTGTTATGTTTCACTGATATAATATCCAGCAAAGCTCCTCACCCATACACTCTACGCTCTTCTTATTTACTGGGGATTAATTTCTCTCATTAGTTTTGGTTTTAGATGAATTTATATATATCTTTCTTTCTTTCTTTCTTTCTTTCTTTCTTTTTTCTTTCTTTGTCAATAAATCATAGAAGAGAAATATATTTTTTTTCCTAGAGAGATATTTATTTTCTTTCCCAGGAAGGAGAGAGACACAGTGGTATTTGTTTTCTTTTTATGGGTTTAATTCATGATTTTTTTTATCACTTGATCATCCTAGAGTAAAAAATTAGCGGGAGGAGGAGGAGAGGGAGAAGATGGAGAAAAGGGGAGGGGGGGGCAGGAAGGAAGAAGGGGAAGGGGGTAAGGGGGGAAGAAGATGGTGAGATGAGGGTAGGGGGCAAAGGAAGGGGAGGAGGGCAGGGAGAGAGGTAAGGGGGAGGAGAAGGAAGTGGTTAGAAAGAGAAATAAGAGACAAGGAAGGGGAGGAGGAGGAGAAGGGGGGGCCTAGGAACATTGACTGACATATTGAGAGGAAAATCAAATAAGATACGAGAGATAGAGGTGAGAGATAGAGGTGAGAGATAGAGGTGAGAGATAAAGAGGTGATGTAGGATTATTGTCATGGTCTTCCTAGAGTCTTCAACGAGAGTGTAACTAGAGCTTGACCCGGAGATAATGCGTCAGTGTCTTATCATCACTAAAGGCTCATGTTCTGGTACAACTGACCCCCAGGGTGTTGTGTACGTGTGAGGAAATACTGCAGCAGATCATGACTAGAAAAGTACAGTATTACTTCTTGTACTTCGAGTTACAGCAAGTCACAAGGTACAGCAAGGTACAAAACTCACACACTTGTAGACTGGCGGTACAGCATCATCATCATCATCATACGATACAGCAGAAACTACATAAAAATGCATTAGAGTTACAATAGTAGTGATCTGGGAATACAGCACTGCCACACTATACCGCAAAATACAATACAGACAACATCAAGATACAGTAAAATACAAAAAAATGGTGTCTGGATTACAGCAATAAATAAGAAGAAAAAATTGGTGTTTAACAGACATGACGGCCCATTTGGTACAGTAAGCACAAAGAAAACTGTAGCCAAAACAATATATAAGGCATCATACTCAACGACCTCACTACATCAACACAGCAAAAAACACTCACACTACAGCATAAAACGGCAATTGTCGGAGATAACAGCGGGAGAACAGCCTCTTAGTAACGTGTGACTGGGTAGACTAACACACACAGGGAGGAGCTAAGAGTGGTGTTATCATATCTAGGCGCCCTGTGTGTGGGGTAGTAGGTCTTGTGATAATCAGTGTGTGATGTCTCGGTAAACACACACACTCTCTCTCTGATAGCCGAACGATAAACTAGTGGGGGGATGTCTTGTTTTATCGTATTGTTGGTGATAGAGAAAGAAGAGGAAAAAGA